CTAGATTCTGGTTGGGATTGTGTCTGTAACTGAAAGATGACTCGGTGGAGGCAACAGGAGGCTGGAGCCAGGATTCTAGAGTGTGCTTCTTGTTGCATTATAAGACTTGCGCACTGCACTGCAGGGTCCACTCGCATGTCCAGCTCATCATAGCTTGTTAAGTGCCTTGGCAGCAGAATTCGAGTTTACATCTTCCAGAGGACTGAATCTCCACCAGAGCTGGAGAGGGAGATGATGACCAAGGGCCATGTGACTTGTCATTGACAAGACAGGAATAGAATTTTCTTTGTACTATATGTAAGTTTCTCTCTCACAGCACTCTCCCACAACCAGCCATCTCTCTCTCTCTGTAAAGCTCCAAAGTTCAGCAGCATAGGGTTCCCTTTTTCTATTCAGTCTGTGGCTTAGGAAATTAGTCAGGACTCATTAAGCTGTGTTTTGCTCCATGTACTATTGAACTAAGTCTCTTGCTTTCCTGGCAGTGGCTGGGATGGACTAAAAGATACCAGAAAAACATTTTAACTTGTCTAGAATCTTGTTTCTCATATGGCTTTCCTCCTCCATGATTCTATCTTGGATGCTCTAACCTAAATCCCTTTGCAACCATAGTGATCTTCGTGTAGGGAAAACAGAATTTGCCAGGCTTCTTAAACTTTTCCCAACTTGACATCGTTTGGCTTTTCTGTAGTCTCCAAATCAAGCCTAGTGAGGCCAGTACAGATGCAAGAGATAGAGAGGGAGTCTTGCAAGCTAATGAGGCACATGCACTTTCAGAGAAAAGGAATATGCGGTACCATCTCACAAACTGACTGCAGCTGTCACAGACCAAGAAATACAGCCTTCTCTAATTTCCATAGTTATCTTACAGAACTGAGAGGTTCAGACCTATGGAAAGGGAATGCGAAAGGGAGAGAAAAAAGAGGCCTAAAAGAGCCTATCCTTTTTTTACACTGACACCCAGTTGGAGCTGGATATATACATAGCTCTACTAATACTGAGTTAACATCCTTTGGTTGAGCTTCTGGTGCTATTTATCCTTACTGAGGGAGGAGGAGCTACTGAACTTCACAGGGTATAGAAAGAACATGGGAAGTGTTTGTGTGCTCCTACAGTAGACATTTCACAGCTCACCTTTGAGCACTACTATCTGGCTTGTGTCAAACATTTCAGTGCCTATTGCTAAGACCTCGAGGTTGCAGTTCAAGTCAGTACTGCACACATATGTATTCAAACTGCAGTACACCTACAGGGGACCTTTTCAACTATTAATTTCCACCCAAGCAGTCAAATTATAATTACTCTTTTAAAAAAGAAAAGAAATGCCTCGGTAGGTTTCTCTTCCCTTTTTGTTAGTGACACAGAGGACTTTTATATAAGAGAAAAGCATCTACGATGGGGAAAATCTATTTTCTCACTTGTGCCAGCCATGGAAATATCCTTTCTTTTCTACTCTGGCTGTCTTGGCTAAAATATCCCAACTTATAAGGATTATTCCCTTTCTCTGAGAAAAAAAAATAAAAAAATAAAACTCCTAAAATATTTTTCTAGGAAATTGTTAGCATGTTTAATTTTTCCTTTAAAAAGAATATTTTATCTTCTTGTTTAATTAAATTATTTTTTGACTCATAGTACCTTTTTCTAGAAACAAACAAAATACCTCAGGAAATGTGGGAATAGCTACTTACCAGCTGCTGGGAAAGCTCACATTTTAAGAGATTATCATTGTCTAGACAATGATGAGATTTCTGTGACAAACACGGTCTTTAGTGTCTCAAGTGTATGTGTGGAAGCATGGGCTAGTAGAACCTAGTCTCCCTTTTTTTATTTTTATTGCTCAATATTTTTAAAGATATTAGTTGGCCAACACAAAATGAACTCCATGTTTTGTTGTAGGTTTTCTGTTTCATCTTGTTTTGGCAAAAAACTTACTGTTTTTTGTTTTTGTCTTTTGATTTTTGTTTTTGGGGTTTTCTTTTTTGAAAGAGAAAGAGAACATAAAACTAGTTGGTAGGGAAGTGGAGAGAAGCCAAGAGAAGCTAAGGGAGAGGAAAACACGATAAAATTATATTGTGTGAAATAAAAGGTATATTTTATTTACTTTTTATGCAAAGTTGTATGTTTACAGGTATCCAAAGCTAATATTCAGTTAAGAATACTCAAGATTTTGGTTTGTTTGTTCTTACCGTTTTATTGATTCATGCACTCCAATCCCACTCATCTCCTTTTCCTTTCATATCTGCCCTCTGGCCTTACATCATCTGCCCAAAAGAAAAGAAAAGAAAAGAAAATGAAGCATAAAATCTTCTCATCATGGAAGCTGTAGTGTATCACAGTATGTTGCACAGTATACCCTTTTGACCACATATCTTTACTTGCAAATGTTCGTTGCATTGAGTCATTGGTCTGATTCCAGGCCTCTGGCTTCTGATACACTATCAGTACTCAATTCTCACCAGGACTCCTCTCAGATATCCTTCTGTTGCCCTGTCTCATAGAGATCCTGCAACTTTGGACCAACCCTTTCACTGCTTCAGCATAGAAGAGGTAGATGTTGAGATGGGCCAACTCAAAGCCCTGGATGATAGCTAAATTGGTCAAGCCACCAGCTTGCCCACATCCACTCCACGAAGGGGAACTCTCTGACACTGTTCTGGCTAGGGCACCCCAATGCTGCAGCCGGCAAGGGGCAAAGTCAACTCTCCCACTCTCATGCCTTCAGTGCCTGCTCACCCATGCCCATGCCACCAGAGCCAGCTCTACTGTACTGCCCTATCAAGACAAAGGGCCCACTCTTCCTGAGTGCTGTAAACTGGTTGAGGGACAGGGACAGCTCTCCAGCTCTCCTGGTTGCTGCACGTGGTAAGGGGCCAGAGAGCAGAGGGCACAACTCCACACCCATGCTACCTCATGGCAGATGAGTGTCAAGACCAGCTCTCCCTCATCCACCTACACTCGCTCACCTACACTTCTGCCACCAGGGCCAGGTCTACTGTGCTGCCCAGGCAAGATGCAGGGCCCACTCTCCCAAGTGCTGCAGCCAGTGAGAGGTGGGGCCAGCTCTTCAGAGTGCAGCAGCCAGTGAGGGTCAGGGACAGCTCTACACAAACTTTGGACATCTACTTGGTCCCAGAGAGCATCTCAGACCAGGGACCTACACATGGTCTTTAGTGGTAATATGAACCACAGACATTGACACAGACCCCTCCCTGCCCCTACATGGATACAGACCCAGACACTCAGCAGCAGCATAGGCTGGGACCTCACCATGGCCTTGGGTGGCAGTGGCTCTCCGCTGCTGTGTTTCCAGCTCCATCTCTCTTCATAATGCTCAAGCTGCTCCCCTTTTCTTTTTCTTCCATCTGTCTACCACATACTTGCACATTGTAGTAGCTCCAGCTGGCCTCTAGGTGTCTTCTGCCCATCTCTCTGTGGCATGGCAGCAGGCAGGTCTCTGGGTATCCTCAGCCCACCTGTACCTTGAGGTTTTTTTTTTCCTCCATTAATTTATTTTGCATCCTGATTGCAGCACCCCTTTTCTCTTCCCAGGACCCCCTTCACATATCCCTCCCATTCTCCCCTCTCCCTCTCCTCAGAGAAAGGGGAATTCCCCCGTGGGTACCAACCTGCCCTAGCACATTAAGTCGCTGCAGGACTAGGCATCCATCCTCTCCTACTGAGGGCAAACAACATAGCCCAGTTAGGGGAACAGGATTCAGAGGCAGGTGTCAGAATCAGAGAGAGGCCCCCCTCCAGTTGCTGGTGGACCCACATGAAGACCAAGCGGTACATCTGATATCTGCATGTAGAAGAATGCAAGTAGATTGATATTTATCACCCTGCACAAAACTCAAGTCCGAGTGGATCAAAGACCTCAGCATAAAACCAAATACATTAAATCTAATAGAAGAGAAAATGGGAAATAACCTGAACTCATTGGTACCAGAGACAACTTCCTGAACAGAACACCAGCAGCTCAGATCAACAATTAATAAATGGGACCTCATGAAACTGAAGAGCTCTGTAAGGCAAAGGACACTGTCATTATGATAAAATGGCAGCCAACAGATGGGTAAAGAGCTTAACCAACCCCCCCCCATCTATAGATGGGGTATAGAACTAAACAGAAAATTCTCAACAGAGGAATCTAATGACTGGAAGCACTTAAAGAAATGTTCAATGTCTTTAGTCATCAGGGAAATGCAAATTAAAACAAATCTGAGATTCCATCTTACACCCTTCTGAATAACTATAATCAAAAACCCAAGTGACAGCATATACTGGCAAGGTTGTAGAGCAAGGGGAACCCTCCTCCATTGCTGCTGGGAGTGCAAACTTGTACAACCACTTTGGAAATGAATCTGGCACTTTCTTAGAAAAGTAGGAATAGCTTTCCCTCAAGACCCAGGTATAGCAGCACTCCTGGATACATAATCAAAAGACGCTCCACCACACTGCAAGCACACTTGCCCAGCCATGCTCATAGCAGCTCTAGTCGTAATAGCCGGAAACTGGAGACAACCTAGATGTCTCTCAGCCAAAGCATGCATAAAGAAACTGTGCTCCATTAACACAATGGACTATTCAAAACAAAGACATCACGAAATTTGCAGGAAAATGGATAGAACTAGAAAATAACATCCTGAGTGAGGTTTTTTTTTTTAAGTCTCTGTTTCAATCTTTCTGTTGATGATAGTAGTAGTGGGCTTATTTTTATTTGTTTTTGCCTTTGTTTGTTTGTTTGTTTATATATGGAGGCTAGGTATGGTGGCACATGACTTTAATCCTAGCATTTAGGATCCAAAAGCAGGATCTCTGTGTTCAAGGCCAGTCTGGTCTGTATACAGAGTTCCTGGCTAGCCTAGGCTCAGAGTAAAACAAGGTCTCAATATAATAATAATAATAATGATGATGATGATGATGATGATGATGATGATGATGATGAAAACTTAAGATCACATGTATTACTTAACTTTTTTAAATATTTATTTCTTTTGTTCTAGGAAGAAGAATTGGAAGCCCAGATTTCATTCCTGCAGGGACAGCTGAATGATCTAGATGCCATGTGCAAGTATTGCGCAAAGGTCATGGATATGCATCTTGGTAAGTAAACTCCATTGTCCCTTGCAGGAAAGATGATCAGATCAGTAACAATGTTGCTGTGTGCTAGGCCCGTATTAAGTGCTCATCGAGTGAGTCCCCTCCTTATTTCTCACAGAAAGCCCTGTGATAGAGGGACTGTCAGTACTCACACTGTACTAATACAGAAACCAGCACAGGGAATAAACTACCCCACGATTTTATCACAGACATGCAGAATCAGAATTCACATCAAAGAAAATCAAATGGACTTTCACCTCCTGACTGCCACACTGCCTTTGTAGATATGTCTCCCTCAAGCCAGAAGACTGACCTTTGAAATCAATCGCTGAGGCCACCAGTTTGCAGTCACTAAAATGGTTCTTAACTTCTAAGTGCTTTCTGTAGTTTATTAACTATGTACCATAAGTGCAGGCCCTCATAAACTGGAATGTCCTAAGTTCAGTTACATGTGCCGTAAGAGGCCACATCAAGATACCTGCCATCTCTTCTTTTGTGAAGGTGCTTAAGTTAGTCTGCTGAGGCACTACATATTAATGCAGGAATTACGTGCTTCTTGCAGAAGCATATGTTGTAAATATTGTTACTTGTTCTCTGCCCATTTATAGTGTGCTGCTCTGGGATAACATGGCAAAATATCAGCAGCAGGTATTGTAAGAAGTCAGGACACACACGCGCACGCGTGCATGAATTACACCGTGAATCTCTGAGATGGCCTCATGCCACCAGCAGTTCCTCCAGGTGTGACCCATTCTTAGCGTCTGTGCTGGGGACGGAGCCTCCACCTGCAGACCCCTTCAAGCAGTCTTTTAAGCCTGTGAGGCTGTGAGGCTGTGACAGGTGACCAGTGTGGCTGTCATTTGGATTAGGCTAACGCATGTTGACTTCAAGTGAGTAAGAAAAAGTGTCTTAAGATATAGCATATAATGGTGCGAGTGACTGGCTGCCATTCATTGCCTCATGAAGCAACTGGCCTGGTCCTAGTCTACTCTAAGCCTTCTTTTCTCCTCCCAAGCTTTGGGTAAAATGGTGAAGAGGAAGAGCAATGGAGGTCTAGTGGATGATCAGCAGAGAGGCTGCTCTCTGTCACACCACAACAGCAGCCCAGTCATGCCTGGTTTCTTTCCTTCCAAACCCTTTCTGGACTTGGTACTTGATGATCGTTTTAAAATTGCATATGACACCAGGTGTATATGACTCTAGTATTCTCTTAATATGATCATACCTGAAAATGTATCAAAAGAAGCAGTGAGGATGAGAAGATGGCTAAGTGGGTAAAGCGTTTGCTCCCACAAGCTGAAGAAGCTGAGTTTGGATTCCCCAGAACCAAGATTTTTAAAAACTTGCACATTAACACAAGCTTCCATAGTCCCAGGGACACTCCCATAGAGAGATGGGAGGCAGAGGTAGGAGAGTGGCCAGAAGCTCCTGGGTAGTAGCCTGCCAGAAGCAGCTTGGAAGATTCTGTCTCGCCCAAGTTAGAAAGGCAAAGACTGATCAATACTGGAGCATTACCCTCTGACCTTCACATCCTCTGTGACACATATGCACACACAGGAATAATAGCCAGTTAGCATATTGCACATACGCACACAAAAGTAAAAAGCATTATCTCATAAGAAGATAATTTATATAGAAATAATGTGTGTTATGTGATTAATTTTGTTACTTAAAAACAGTTTGATCTTAAAGTGTTGATGTGCGTGTATTTTCTGTTTCTTGGCTACTTGAGTTAGTGATGGTTGGGAAAAAGATCTACCAAAACTTAAAAAAGAAAAAAAAAATCCTTCTAGGAAATTTTCCAGTTATTTGCTATACACAGCAGCTTGTAAAGCAGCTTTGCTAAAGCCTCGGAATTTCCAAGCAGCCTTTTCCCTGATTTAGGTCTTTCAATCAGTGCTAACGGAGCATTTTTCAACGCATGGGGCAGGGAGGGGGACTTTCATTGAAATGGAAAGAAAACCACATACCAGCTGTGAATGTCCAATAACTGCAAGAGCAGATTTGTTTTGTGCGTACATTTCACTCTCAGACAGAATCCCTTCATGTAGCTGTCGGCTTCCTTCCTCACATAAATAACCATGGCTTTTTTTTTTTTTTTTTTTTTTTTTTTTTAATGGAGTTGAAGAACACTGGGAAGAACTGCCTTCCCCAGGGCCCACGGATGCATTTCAGTATCTATACAAAGCAACATTAGTTGCTTTGGTTGTAGGTAATTTTTCATCTGAAGAAAGATTTGTGTAAAACACAAAAATTATTCAGGTGAAACTCTTGATTTTTCTAATTTATGCAAGTGTTAATTTGATTGCTTTTAGTATTTACATGTGTTTTTTATTTCTAATTAAATAGGAGATCAGAATTGGAATGATTGAAATATTCATTAGTAAGAGATTGGCTATGTTATAGCAATGCCATCTATAACATTTAAATTATTTTATTCATCAACATAGATTAAGTTTTAAAAGCAGGTAGCAGAATGTATTTGATAGGAAAATAACTATCATGGCATTTTCTTGACTGAAAGAAAAACTAAGAGGACTTTCCAAGGAACTTAATCTATATGATGAAAACAGGAGGCAGTCACTGAAAACATGTGGAGAGCTTAAGTTCGGGCTGTGCTCAGAGGTCAGCGTGTGTAAAGAGCAGGCAGGGGGCACTCGTGAGAGCGGTAGGCGCTATGTGAGGAGCAAACCTCATCCAGGCTCGGCCACTTAGCCCTGCTGGCCAGGGAGCTCTCGGGAAAATGAGAAGAATATCAGTCTGGCCAGTTTGTTGCCAAGGTTTATTTTTAAAGTATAGCATGTGGACATGAGTCACATAGGATATTCGGTAGGGATCATTTCCTCTTTCCCTATGGGTCAGGGTCATAGCACTTAGTTTTGGTTTTTCCAGGACCCCACGACTTGTTAGGTGAAGATCTTGGACCAGTATTATACTCCTAACACACACTAATATCAGATTACACCAACGGATATTCAGAATTTGATATGTTAGCCCTAGCCTTAGATTGTGAACAAGAATAACTTAATCACAACTTGGTGCCTGGGCACTTCCTGACACGGGGCCTGCTGAGCCTTGGCTCTGCATAGGCTGCAAGCTGCCAAGGTAGCTGCGGGTGCCTTCGGAGAGCATTATTATACCAGTTCTTTCTTGGGGTTCTTTGCTCATATTCATTACTTTTTTGATGTTCTATTCATCTCAAGAGAATTCTTTATCATTCTCTGTGTTTTCATCATGTGTGCAATAAATGACTTAAAATGTCAAGTACTAATCAAGGCTGTTTTATAATTGATAGCAGAACAAATAAAGAAGCTTCTTAGAGAAAAATTATGTAGTGATGTTTGTTCAAGCAGCTGGCAGGCTGGTAGCATCTCCTCCCATTCTGCAGCTCAGTACTGGAGGAGGGCTTGTTCTGTCGGAGTCCTAATTCTATTAACTCATGTAACATGCAAAGATTTAGAATTGAAAATATGTGTCTTATTAGATCTAAAGTTGCTCTGTCAATTTCAGACTTTCTTTTCATGCTCATTCTAATGTTGCTATAGTTACCCCCCTGTTCATCATCCTGACAGTTGAGTTGAAAACTATTGACAATATTAACCTCTATGGCTGAGCTCAAGATATTTTTAAAATTACTGAATTTCACAGATATATGCTCATGAGTACACAGCCTGAACTTGTGTGACCTTAGGGAACTGGACTGTGTTGACCATTTGCATTGTGTACATAAGCCGCTTACTCTGCTGAGCACCCATGCCCACATATGACAGCTCCAGACGAATGTCTTCACTAGATTGTTTGGGACTTAGACCCTCATTTCCCAGAACAAGTTGTCTTTATGTAGGTGTGTCATACAACAGAAGGATCATATTTGGTGACCTAAAGGAATTGCACTTCTGTGCTCTGCAGAGAGTGTCGTACCTCATAGAATCATAGAACTTTAAAGATTCTCGGAGCTAGAGAGATGGCTCAGCAATTAAGAGCACTTCTGCTCTTGCAGAGGACCAGAGTTTGATTCCCAGCATCCACAACAGGTGGCTCACAACCATCTTTTATTCTAGATCCAGGAGATCCAACACCGTCTATTGGCTCTTGTAGACAATTGCATACAAATACACACACACAAATAAAATAGTTTTAAAAGAATATTAAAACATATGAGTGCCCTGGAACTACCCCAGCTGTTCTGTACCTCACAGAAGAGGAAACCAAGGTTCAGAAAACCTGAAGGAGTACAGCCCAAGCCCTTCCTGGGCCTGGAGCTCAGCGCATGCCATTACTCATTCTGTATATCATACTACTTGAATTTATGCTAGAATTAGTTGGAAGGGCCAGTGTTAAAATTCATGTACTTGCCTCTATAAGAACATTTATAAATCTGATTCCCTGATAAGTTATAAACAATTCTCAGAGGTTGTCTGTGGAAGTGATTATATCCAAATCTTCCATTTTCATTAAACTTACTCTGAGTACATAGTGTCAGCATTTTGATGTCTGCTCCTCCAACCCCATCCATCTTTCTCTGGAAGAAGATATTACAATAGGCCATGTCACAGCTCCCTGGAATAACATTGCCACAATGTGTAGCAGCCCCACCAGGACCATCCCCACCAGTGACCTGTGCCCACAAAGAGATGCACCACTGAAGTGCATCTTCTTCCGTGCAGTACTTTTCAGTGAATGTGCCACACATCTGTCTGGGTGTTTGCCTGTTTGTTTGTTTTTAGTTTAACCTATCATCACAATGAATTGTCTTTCAGCCAGAACACTTAGTGTAGCACTTGAGTAGTCAGACCCTAGTGTTTAAATAAGTAATGTTCTTCCCCCAGGTGCCGTGTTTAGGATCTTCAGCCATTCTGGCAGATGAGTGCAAAAGAGAATTCTTGATTATATTTTCTGTGCCGTGTGTGTTTTATTTTCTAAAGACTTGCATTTTCAAGGGGATTCTTGGATGATTCTATATAAGTCTCAGCTCACCAGAATTAAATGCAGTATTAAACATT